ATACTTCTGACTGATAACAACTGTGAGGCCAAATTGTTATTTTTTGAAGCTGTCATTTACTATAGTGACTTCACTTAACATAGACTCATTAGACTTGTATTGATGTTAATAATATTTATGCGTTTATTTACCAAGTGAAGATTTTAATTCCCTTTTTTAATTTTTTTTTTTTTTTTTTTTTTTTTTTTCTCAGGTACTTCTGTTGGGCTGTAGAGTAAGATGGTGGTCACCTAAATGCAATTGTGAAAACCACAACTTCTATCTACCTAGATGGAAACCCTTATCTGGGAGCTGTTATTCTCTGGAAATGTTATTCATTTAGTGGGAGAGCTAGTCTGGGAGAGGGAAAGAAAATAACTAAAGAGTATTCATAATGTATTGTCTCAATGAAATATCTGTTAATACACATTTAATTATCCAAATGATTAATAAAATCAATATTTATTCTATTTGTGTTTATTAAGAGACAAATCTTCCAGATATGTCCCTTACAGAGTGTGATACATACAAAATTAAATTCCTAACACACCAAGCTTGTAAGTAATATTAAACCATTTTTAACCAGTGAGCTGTACAGCTGTGGTTAAATCTCTCTTCATATATTATCAGTTAATTTGCATGTAAGAATAATGGATTAAGTAGAGCCAAAGCAAAACAGATACCTCCTCCGGTTCTGTATTAAATAGCCACAAGTACAAAATCTGAACATCTTCAGAATCTGCTGTGAAAGAGATATACCATGCTGTGTCAGTGGGGGACTAAAAACAGTGGAAATATAAGAGTTTAAATTTTGAGGTGAGAAATATTTTTGCTCTGACTCTAAATTTAGTAAATCAAGATTATTGATATGAGGAGATTGAGGGAAATTTATAATGGAAAAAAAAAAAAAAGAGGAAAAAGAGAGAGGGGGAGACATTATGTCCTTGTGTGTGTGTGTGTGTGTGTGTATGGAATATTGGATAATCTTTCCAAGCTCCTTTTCACAAGAGAAATCCAAAAATCTGGGTTCTTCGGGGTAAGAAGACGGGATAAACTCATGTGTTAAACAGTAAATGCAGAGAAAATACTTAGTAAACATCATGCTTATATACAAGACTTTTAATCATTCTGTCAGGAGGTAATATTTTTCTTCATACTGTTTAAGCAGAATTATTAGGAATATTTTCTTTATCAGAATAGCTGTTGATAGCACCCAGGGTAAATGACAAATGTGTTCCCCCAAGACAGGTACCAAAGGTGAGAAAAGAGTACAGTCTGAAAAGTTTTAGCTTCAGTGGGAATTGATTTAGAGACTATTTTTCAAACTTTTATTGCATCTGTGAGATAATTGGTCATTTTTGACTGTTGCCATGACTTCTGTATTTGCTTCTCAAGAAAGAAACATGTAGTCAATTGTTTTCATATATCAGAAGTAACCTAGAGAAGCTGATTCATTTTGGCAAGGATGATCTGCTGGGAATTGCAACAGAAATTCAATCTACTGGGGAGAAATAAGAGACATGTTATACATTCTGGGCCACATCTCACATTTATCACCTTGAATAAACCAAATAAAAGTTCTAATGTGGATGTTGCACATCCTCAGTCAGTATTATAAAATGAAAGTGATGCTTTTCCTTCTCTGGTACTCTTCCCATCAACTATGGTAATAGACTTATTTCCAAAATATTCGCAAAGACTTAATGTTTAATATTTAGTATTTAGAACAAAAGGAGATTCAAGGTCATGGCTTAAACAGATTATTTTTCACTTTACTTTTTCATTCCTTGAAATTCCGATCTTGTAATTTTTAAACTAAGACATGACTGATTTTACAGGTGTCATATAAGTGCCACTACTTGAAACTTTTCAATGGTTTTGTGATTTTGAATCAGCTTGTTCATTGTTCTGCACATGCTCATTTTAATAAGTTACATATATATATATATATGACAACAGAATATATGTTAGAATTTCATATGTAGGTGTCTGGACATGAAATTAATTTATTAATATAATAAATATATTTTTAGTTTTGAGAATATTAATGTCATTCTGTTATTAAAATACCTTTCTGAAAAACTGTTAAGACAGAATATATACTAATTTATTGTATTAATAATACACCTTTACTTTGTGGTCAGGTAATGGCCAGGAATGTCAGGACTTGGGTCAGTAAAATATTTTTCTGCTAAACAATTCTGAAGGGAAGAATACATATTTCAGTATCAGAGGTATTCAGAAATTGGTCTGTATCTTTGTCAAGGACATTTTTGAAAGCTATGCTTGACAGAGGAAACAAGAAAAGTTTAATTTTGTGTGTGTGTGTGTGTGTGTGTGCTTTGACATTGCCCATAATTTATAATACTTCCTTTTGCTTTATTGGCAGTAATTTTTTAAGTAATACAGTTACATTGAGAACTGATTCCACAGTACAGCAGCCTTAGAAATTTTAATGGTGAACAGCATGCAGAATATAAATGGAAAGGTGTGAAACAGATTTGACTGACTGCTAAAAAGAGTGGAAGACAAAATGATGGATAGAAGTAAAGGACATGACCAGCATTCAGCCATTCAGAAATCAGGGAAACAATGGATATGTTGGTACAATAATATCAAAACACAATCCAATGGAAGTGAAATGTGGGATTTTTCTCCCCAAAAGAGGGAAAAAGTGATCATGTCTGTTCTAAATAGATGTGAAAATTTAAGTGGTGTTTGGGAACAGTTCAGTTTCCTCACTTTTAAGAAAATACCTTGATGGAATTCACAGTTTTTCCTTGTTCCTCTTTATTTCTATGTCAGAATAACACAGGGGTAATGAAATGAGAACAGTTGCATTTCAAATGAAATCTCTCTAAAAATTCCGGAGTTGTAGGTCATGTCAGTATCTGAGATCATGTGTATCTTAGGTGAAAAGAATAATCTGAATGTTCACTTTGCGGTGACAGCAAACCAGTGAAATAGATGAGCATCACAATAAGTTGCCAAATAGACAAGGAAGGTACAGATTATTTTTTCTCTCGCAGGTCCATTGCTTTTGTTAAAGAACTTTGAAACTGTCTCATGCAGTTTAATGTATGGTATGCTTTCATTCTTTTTTCTTTAGTTCTCTGCCCTTGTAACTCTCATTTCTGCTACTTAAATTGTCACTATTTGATATAGTACAGGTTTTGATATTGTTCGAGGTAGAAAATATTTTTAAGTTATTAGCCTGAGTTTCATAATATGGATAATATTTCTAAATCTAACCAGTCATTTATTCTTCATGACTGACATATTTAATTTTAAAGGCAAAATAATATTTTCTAACTGATAACACTAGTATATCTGCATGATGTTTCTAAAACCAAGTAGGTTCTTAATTTTTAACATTGTCTCTGAAAGAATTAAAAATTGCTGATCTTGTGATAATATCTCAGTTACTTAACATACTTACATTTTCTACTTATATAGAATAGTATAGTCATTAATTTTCCTTTAGATACAAGTCCACTATCCTTCTCTGTTTCCAGTTCACCACCATTTTAACTTGTTCTCATTTTCTTGATCCATCAAACAAAAATAATCATATGAAACATGAAGAAAAACCCCTTTTAATCACACTGACATTTCCTACTTTCTGCACAGAATAGGGAAAATTATTTAGTGTTTGATTCTCTGGAGTTCTGATGTAAGATTTGCATAAGACATTCATGGTGTTAATGCTTTTAATCTCTAAATTCATGCTTTCCCAAGCAAACTCTGTATATGGGTACAGATATCAGTCTACATATATGTATTTGTGAAAGTCTGGTTGAAAATATGTGTTTTACTTTAAAGGTTTTGGTCAATTTTTATGTGAGAAAACTTTAAATATTTCTCTTTCTGGATGAATTTTCTACAAAGCTCCATGGTTCCTTTTCCTTGTTGTTTTATTGAAGTATTTCTCTGAATGCATGTGTTCATTCAATTTTTGCAAGCTTCAACTGGAAAAGCTGTCATTTCCTTTTCATTCACATCTGTAATCTTGAGGACAAGTTTACATATTGTTATACTACACTGTTCCAGAAAATCTGTCTGGTTGATGGTGCATTATTTTTCATTCTAAGTTTAATGTTATTTATATGCCAGTGAGGACATGGTAACTATAACAGAGCACTTCCCTATTAAAATAGTTATGAAAAACAATTATTTTCTGAGAGCATTAGACATATAATATCTTCAGGAGTTCACATAATTATGTAAAGACAATCAAATATAGTAAAGAGTAAGAGGATAAAAACTCATTAAAAAGTTGCAATTAAATACACTGAAAAACTATAGTAAGGAAGATCTGCAATATCCCTCAGTTCTTTTCTTCAAGAGTTCTTAGATAATTGAAGTAGATATCCAAACATGAGACTGAAAGTATATGTGAGAGTGTATTTTAAAATAATCTTCAGTTTTGTCTGGATTTCCCTAGAAATCAGTCTCTGAAAGTAAATCATACTAATTTACTTTTCTTGGTTCTTTACTTGATCTACCTACTGTGAATATGATCCAGAGTTTGCAGATTGCAGTACAATTTGCACAGCAGACAATGCACTTTGTATTAAATTGATATTTGGGCAGTTCTTCACACACAGATTATGCCATGGGTATCTGGAAAGTGATGATGTGACCTTTACATCAGAAAATTGTTTTCTTTTTTCTGGTAACTTGTCTCTTAAGCCATAAATTTTGTCTTAGCAAAATCCGTAGAGGAGACAACCTCTTGCATGTAATTTTTTTTTTTTTTTTTGACATTTCACTAAAAATGCCTGCCAGTTTACATCTAATGCTTAAAAGGAAGTTAGCCTTTTTTGATTCATTGATTATAAATCTTTCATTTATTTCACTGATATAAGGCTTTTCATAAACAGAATGCTTTCATTGATTATAAGTCTGTATGTAATCAGATTTCTCTCTTTTTTATCATGTTTTTACCCTTTTATTTTCAGGTTATGAATTTCTTCTAGTGAAGTACTTATACATTAATTTTTCAAGGGTGTCTGTTTTTGGTTGTTTTGTTTTCTGTTTTTTGTTTGTTTTGTTTGTTTGTTTGTTTTTTCACAGCCAGAGCATTTTTATGAGGCTGCTTTTGTGCTGAAATTCCTTCTCTGTTACATGGACAACAAAATATACACTGTGTTGGATTACTGAGGCATTCTCAGTCTTAATGGCATGTTAAAAGAAAAAATGAAAAGAAAAAACCAAAACTGTTACAGAAAGCTGGCTAAAGTGCCAAGATAAGTTCGCTGTAAGGTATCTAAACCACAGGTGCTTCAAGGCATCTGCTCAATTTGTCTATTAACACTTACTTAGATTTTCACACTTATATTTCATACATACATATACCCCTAAAATTTTTTTGTGTTTTTTATATATGTATGTATATGTGGGTTTTTTTTAACCAGCATTTAACTTCCAACTGGAAATAATTGTTTCAAAGTATATACATATGCATGTGGTTTATGTAAATATGTACACGTTTGTGTATAGATTGTTTCCATTCTGTGAAATACTTTTCAGAGTCATTGATGAACCAGGAACATACTGACACATTGTAATGACCCAGCTGGTCTGTAAACGTCTTCATCTATATAGATATCCTAACTTGCTTTTGTTAAATAAGGAGGAAGGTTGCAGGTAAATTTCCAGTTCATGAGACACTGCATCATTCTCCCTGGACAGGGGATGTAAACAGTTGCTGTCAAGAGCCTTAATATTATGAGCCGCTCTCCAGAGTTTAGAGAAACTCATAGGCTTTTACCAGAGATTTCACTTTAAAAATTTGTTCGCTATCAAGAATATTGTATTAACTACATGAGAGAGAGTTTATGTGGATCAAAAAAACCCAGTAATACAACAAAAACACCGCTCCTAAGTTGTGCTGTGCTTAATCTTTTTTTTTGAGACAGTCCCTCTACTGCATGCAGTCTATGATATCTCAAATTAAATTGTTGTTCCACTTTATTTATTTTGGAGAATGAAAATGAAATTAAATTGAAATCCAATATCTAGTAGTATACTTGTATTTTCTGATTACTGTCTTCAGAAGTGTTCATGGCTTACACCCCTCAATTATGAATTAAGAATTTATGCAAATCTCCAAGTCTATCATCAAGTCCTAATAATGATGCATTATATTTGCAACTAATTTTTCAAATACGAGCTCTAGAGTTTGTGATCTGAAAACCTCTCTATGTGGGGAAAGAGATAAATATCCATAAACAGTTTCCAGGTTCCAGCTGGAATGCCCTAGGGACTTTTACTGCCCTTCAGCAGCCACTCCAGAAAGGCGAGGGACTCTGGGTTTTACAGGATATCTACTTTCATCATATAGATATCTCAACTTTTATAATTTCACCATAACTGAATGTAGACTCAAGCTGGAAAAGCATCTGGAAGGTAGACTACCTCTATTTTAAGAAATAACACCACCAGTTGTATTTTCCCTTTCAAATGTTCATTAAGTAGGAAAAGAAAAGTCATAACAATGTCACCTTTGTGAAGTTGGTATTTTCATTTTAATTTTATTTTAAAAATAATTCTGGTCAATCATAATGTCACAGTTCCTTTTCGTTAAGCCTATACAAATATTTTGGGGTTTGTGTTTTGATGTATCTATGCTTGCATTTATACTTCAGAATACTCTGATATAAAAATGCAATCTGAATATATCAAGGAAAGATTTCACATTGTCTTAATTCTACAGCAAACCCTTGGCACATCTGGTAATTGCATAAATATCACCTCGTACTATAATAACAGGTTATTATATCTAAGTATGCTGTCAGTGTGGGCTGAATGGCTTTCATCTGATCTGGCAATTATACATGATGTTGACACTCGAGACTTTGCCAATGCTTTCCATTTCTGTTTTGTATGAACACTCACATGGACTACAAACAAACATCTTGTACAAAACAATTACATTTTCAGGAATAGATTTGTATTTTGTATGTTTGTGCTAAGCCTATTATAAAGTAACCCTTAGACCCAGACCAGATAATTTAGTCAGGAATAAGTGTACTGTTTTGTGCCTAAAGTATGTGAGGAATTTTGTCTGAATTAATATAAAAATGCCGTGCAATGCTCATGTGAGAAGTGCACATTCTACCATGAACTAGAACATATGCTGTTCATTATGTAGTTTGGAATAAAATAATATAAACCAGTAATTATGAAACTCTCGATATACTGTCTCTTAAAACAAGCAATATTGGAATATTTAAAAAAAATATTTTCTTCTTTGCATATATATTTGTTTAAAAGGTCCAAACTTATGTATATTCACTGGAGAAGAAAGTGGCTTGTAAGAAGGATTTATGATATGAATGATGCTTTTATTGGGGATGTGTAAAGGAAAGAGAATCCTGGAAATATAATAGGTTTTAATCCTGCTGTGCAAATATTTGGTGTTTCTCTTACGGTGGTCAAATAGAATTTCAGGGAATGGTAGATTAACCCAAAATCTAGAAGACAAAAATATTTTATGACTGCTTCTTTTATTTAAAATATCCGGTAAACAATCCCCCTCTACTTCGCTCTCGTGAGATCCCACCTGGAGTACTGTGTGCAGCTCTAGGACACCCAACATAAGAAAGACATGGACCTGCTTGAGCGGGTCCAGAGGAGGGCCATGAAGATAATCAGGGGGCTGGAGCATGTCCTTTATGAGGATAGAGGGAAAGCATTGAGATTGTTCATCCTGGAGAGGAGAAGAGTCTGGGGGAGACCTTATAGCAGCCTTTCGGTACTTAAGGGGGCCTATAGGAAAGATGGGGAGAGACTCTTTATTAGGGAGTGTAGTGATAAGACAAAGGGTAACAGTTTTAAACTGCAAAGAGGGTAGATTTAGATTAGATATAAGGAAGAAATTCTTTACTGTGAGGATGGTGAGGCACTGGAACAGGTTTCTCACAGAGGCTGTGGATGCCCCTTCCCTGGCAGTGTTCAAGTCCAGGTTGGATGGGGCTTAAAGCAACCTGATCTAGTGGAAGGTGTCCCTGACCATGGCAGTGAGGTTGGAACTAGATGATTTTTAAGGTCCCTTCCAGCCCAAACCTTTCTATGATTCTATGATATTCAAGAACAATGTATCTCAACAAGCAGAAGTCAGGCAAAAATGCCAAAAGTCTCCTGACAAAGCTCAAACATAAAAAGGAAGCATACAGAAGGTGGAAAAAGGGACAGGTAATATGGGATTAATACCGATCCAAGCATGCAAAATTTTGTTAGGAAATATAAAGTCCACCTGGAATTAAATCTAGCCAGGGATGCCAGACAACAGGAAGGGCATCTATATGTATAATATATAAATAACAAAAGGAAAACTATGGAAAATGTGGACCCACAGCTGAATGGGAAAGGGGACCTGGTGACATAGGACTTCAGTCTTTATTAGAAAGATCACTCTTCAGGAGTCGTGTATTGGGTTTATGTGGAGCAGTGTCAGTAGTGAGAGGTTTGCAGGTGTGACTTCTGTGAGAAGCTGCCAGAAGCTGTCCCTATAACCAACAAAGACAATGCCAAACAGGTGCAAGACAGAGCTACTGCTGGCCAAGGCTGAGCCCATCAGTGATGGTGGTATTATAGCACATTTTTGATAACATATTTAAGAATGGGAAAAAAACTGCTGTGCAACAGCAGCCAGAGAGATAATATTTCAGAGAAACTAACTCTGCAGCCACCAAGGTCAGTGAAGAAGGAGGAGGAGGTGCTCCAAGCACCAGAGCAGAAATTCCCTTGCAGCCCATGGAGGATACCACGGTGATGCATGCTGTCACTCTGCAGCTCATGGAGGTTAATGGTGGAGCAATTATCCACTTTCAGCTCATGGAGGATCCCACGCTGGAGCAGGTGGATGCCTGAAGGAGGCTTTGACCCTGTGGAGAGCCTGTGCTGGAACAGGGTCCTGGCAGGAAATGTGGCACGGTGGAGAGAAGAGCCCATGCTGGAGCAGGGCAAAACTTGTGACCCTGTGGAAAGGACCCCTACTGGAGCAGGAGAAGAGCATGAGGAGGAAAGAGCAGCAGAGACAATAGGTGATGAACTGATTACAACCTCCAATCCCCATCCCCCAGCACTGCTTGGGGAGAGGAGGTAGAGAAATCAGGAATGAAACTGAGCCCAGGAAGAAATGAACGTGTCCTGGTTTCAGCCAGGATAGTTAACTTTCCTTGGGATGAGAGGGAGCACAGCTAGAGGGACAGGTCCGGGCTAGAATATCCCATATCATGTGACATCATACTCAGCATATAAGGGGATGGTGCTCTCTCATTTGTGTTTCCGTTTCCCAGTCAGTCAGTGTGGTGTGATCAGGATCACTGCTGGGGGGTGAGCTGTGTACTGGTCACCAGTTGGTGAGCAACTGCTGTATATTACCTGTTTGGACTTACTATTGTTACTGTTTTTTAATTCAACCTACAAATTATTTTTTTTTTTGGCCCTCCCCTTTTTCACCAGGGAAAGCAGGGGGTAGGGGGAAGATGTTTTTAGATTTATTCTTACTTCTCATTATCCTTTTCTAGTTTTAATTGTTAATAAATTAAATCAATTTCCCCAAGTTGTGTCTGTTTTGCCCATGACAGTAGGGCATGGTTTGACTCATGAGACTTTGGTTGTATTTTCCCTCTACTGTCCAGTTGAGAAGGGGGACTGATAGAGTGGCTTGGTGGGCACCTGGTGTCCAGCCATGGTGAACCCACCACCAAATCCTGAGCCCCAGAGACCAGGGAGAAATTCTGGAGCAAGGAGGATGTACCCATGATGGAAGACAATCAGATCAGTGAACACTTAAACAAACTGGATATACATAAATCCAAGGACCCTGACAGGATGCACCCATAAGGGCTGAGGAAGCTGGTTGATGTCAGTGTGACACTACTCCCAGTAAGCTTTGAAAGATCATGACATGGGAGAGGTGTCTGAGGACTAGAGGAAAGGAAATGTCACTATTCTTGAAAAAGGGTCAAGGAGAGCACAGAGAACTACAGGCCAGTCAGCCACATTTCGATCCTTGGGAAGATGATGGAACAACGAATGCTGGAA